TATTTGTTTATTTTGTATAGAATTTAATCTTTATTTTCAATGTATCAAATCACGTTTATTTATTCAATATACGAGGAGATACCAATACAGAAATTGTGTGCATGGCGGACAAAATTGAGAAAATTTGTCCTTAAATATGGTATATCTAACCCAAATCTTAGATGAAAAAGAAAAAAGAAATAACTTAAACAATTACAACACACAACACTTCACATTTTATTACCACAAGCAATGATTGAAATTACACAACACAAACCACATTGTTCATCAAACACACCCAACACTACCATCTCCCCTTTAAACAACTTAGGCAATTCAAACAAATAGCCATGCACTTGGCTTTATTTCATTATTATTATTGTTATTATTTTATTTGGGGATATATATATATAGTAGTAATTAATTATTAATTCCAATAAAGCCCAATTACTCAGTAGTAGTAGCAGTAGGAGCAGTAGTATCAGCAGCAGTAGTAGGAGCAGCTGGTGTGTCACCCTCTTCACCCTCTGCAGTGGCATCAGTCTCGTCGTATTTGGAGTCGAGCGATGGTGAGATTGCACTAATATTATCGGCCAACTCCATAGCTCTCGGGGTCACACCTTCTAACGTCATTATACCCACAAACTCAGGTGAACTTCCCGAACCAATCGACACCCGAGCAGCGCCACCATTTTGGGTAGCGGTAAAATTATTCTCCTGCCTCTCCATATTATTGGAGATGGTGCCCCAGTTGACGGAATTGAAACCGCCTTGCACGCGGATTTCCGCGTACACCTGATCATCGAATGCACCCAATCATTGATAAGTATTTAATTTTAGAAATAAAATAATTAATTCAATAACTCAACCTTCGATTGGAAATGATTTTTTTATTGTTACCGAATTTGATTTATTGGATTCAGTGAGTTACGATCGAAAATAATTGATTTCAGTAGAAATTTGGATTTAATCATTTTGAGTTTATGAGCGAATATGAGTTAAGATGTAACGATTAAAGTTGATTTGATATAAATACAGTAAAATAATAAGTGATAGTTAAAAAATATACGAACAGATGAATGGTGAATTACTTTGCAGGAAACCATGCGCTAATAATTTGTTTCTATTATTTAATTATATCGATAATATTAAAGAGATGGTTAAATTGATTTAGATTTTGGTTGAATATAGAGATATAAAATTTGTATCCAACTGCAGTTCCGATAAAATATATTTATATATATATATATATATATAGTTAACTCACGCGGTTCTGGAAGTGGCGACGGGACGTGTTGAAGCATATCATCCAATCGCGGTTAAGCCCGTTATTGATTTGGCCACGGTAGACCATAGCTGCCTTAGACGCGCCCATGAGGTTATAACGGACGTGTAGAAATGCGGCCCATTGGCCGTTTTGGACGACCTGAGGGATAGGAGAGCGCCACACGCTACCTTCCCAGTCGTGAGTGAGTTGGAGGTAGAGGGGCCCACCGGTGGCATTGTAAAACATTCCAAGCGTAGAGGTTCCGTTGCCGTAGGCCTCTTTGGTGTTGTGCACAAAAGTGCTTGCGTTATCGGCTTTATTCTCGGCATTCATGTAGTGAAGGGCCGCTTCAGCACGGTTCACGGGCGTGGGGTTAATAATGTTTGGAAAAATGAGCCGAACCGTGTCGTCGGTCACCGGATTTCCGAACACGTTGACTGCCATGCTGGATTGTTAATTTGGGGGTGTTTTTGGTGTGGGGGATTTATTTATTTATTTTGGCTTTGGGTTGTGTTGTATTGTGGTGCAAAGTGTGTGACCAAGTTGGTGTATTTATAGAGAGGAAA